CTCAACAGTGGCATTCGGAGACATAGACACGACGATATGCGTTGCATCGGCCTGATTTGTAGCTACTCGGCCCACTGAAACACAAAAAATGAGCTGTTTTTTGAATTACAGAAAAGCTTCAGCAGCAACCTCTCCTCTACCTGAGTCACCTCATCTAATGCTTTTTCTCATTAGCCTCTTTCAAGTAATGCGGTTGAGAATAGGCCCTATCTACTGGCTATAAAAGCCACTTACGTCTGTTAAGCCGGCTGTAGCAACCAGGTTGATCTTGGAAGCCTAAACGGCGAAGGCACGAAAGATTATATCGCAACTACTTCGGTATGCACGTATATGCACTCTTTCACCACAGAGGTTCCATTACTAAGCTAGACGACGACTTAAGTACCTATAGACATAGAAAGTGTGATATGGCCAAAATAGATCACTCCGTTCTTAGATTCTGCTTCAAGAACCCGTCTGTTTTCAGCAAATTCATCTTTCTTGATGATGCGGGAATTAAACGTTTAGTCAGCATGCTATTTTCATAAAAAGCATTTCCTCGAAATAGTTCCCCGTAACTAGAGTTAATTCCCTTTTCTTTCACTTGTCTCTTACTCTGTTTGGTCTTTTTTTATTTTTTCCTCCTTCTCTCACATATCCTTCTTGCAAATCAGTTACATGGCTTTTCAGTACATGGCGGGCAGGAGGCCATAGTGATGATTTCCGCTTCTACCCGCACGCATAATTCGGTCTGTGTTTACAGCTAAGGGATGAAACACAGATAGTGCATCGTAAAATGTCTTCTTATACATGACACATGAGTCCAATCCTCTTATTCTACTATTATAGCATGAAAGAACAGCATGAGGAAAGAAGGCAAGAGTGAGATAAGACGTTTCGGTCCATTAAGTCATATACGCCTTAATTGAACACAGCGACAGGACCTTTCCAGTATGACGGATGCAGTGCTTAATGGAAAAGATCCCATAATCAAGATATCTGACTCTGGGTTTGGCCCAAGTGTAAGTCCAACCTAAAAAGCCTGATTGCTTCTTACAGAATCTCCATCTAATTCTAATAAGGCCATCATTATCCTGGCGACATCTCACACCATCAAGGTAAATCTCATCGTGGTGAATCCAGCTACATCCTGGTAAGTTTAACCTTATCCTGGTAAATCCAGCCTCATTTCTGGTAAGCCCGAGCTTACACCGGTGACTTGGTGAGCTCAGCCTCATGCTGTTAGACTAGAATCAAAGTCCTGGTTGTGGTCGGGTACATGTATAATGTAACAGAAAGAGATAAAGCATACTATTTTCGATTGTTTTTCTCTTCATTTCGGCCAGATCTTCTCCTTCATAGGCAACAAACCA